TCCCTACCAGTTATGACCTTGGAGTTCCTTTCCTTTATTTCTTCATCTGAACAGTTCCTCAGCTCTCTGCTTCACTCTTTCTAATAGCTCTGTTATCTTTGACCTTTCTCTCCAAAAGCCCCCAAATCCAAGTGACTCCATACTAGCACCCCACAGATCCAACCTCCATTTTACCAGTCTCCTAAGATTACCAAGATGCTACACTTCCAAAGTCTTCCTCTCCACCTCAACTAATCTCTAAGCTGAAGTTCCCTGCGTTTCTCTTCTCTGAGTATTTTTAGTTTAAATCCCCCTGCAACATGCAACGCACACACACACACTCACTCTTAAGCATGTACTTTCCTCCCAAAGCAGCCCCTCTTGCCTTAGCTCTTGTTGGCTCCTACTGCTGCTGACTTCTTAAAAATTCCCCCCGTCCCACAAATTAAAATTAACGTGCTTCCTTTGTACTGTTTTGTGACCCTATTTCTAACTCCGCTTTCCACCATACCTGTGCTTTGAAAGCTTCATTTTCCCTCCAGAAGGTTCATGTATTTGTTCCTCCATTGCCACCATCACTGGCATGTCTTTTCTGTTGATCAAAATGTTCTTTCCCTTTTCAAGAAAACCTCCCTCTCTGCCAGGCTACAAAAGCAGGGAAGAGTCTGTCTTGCATCCTAATAGATGGAATATCAGCTCAGTTCACACATAGTGAATGACAGGATCTTGGCTGGACTTATTGTAAATACTCCAAGACAAGGAAGGAAGAGCTCTGGTCTGGAATTGAGTAGTGGAAGGCAAAGTCTTGTTTGCAACATGCTCCCAGCCAGGCTGATTAGAAACCTTGCCAGACTTGTTGCCTGTCTTGGCTACTTCTGAATCACAGAATCACCTTGTTTCTTCCCTCTCTATTCGTTCCTGTTTTGGTCCAGCTGACATTTGGAGATAACAGAAGAAAGCCACTGTCTCTCGGATGAAAAGTCCCGTGACATGTGCTTGTCTCTATTGCTAGAATTCCACCTCCTTCTGGATGTCTCTATGCCCAAAGCTAGAGCCATGGCAAGGAGGGTGGTGCCTGCCAGTGCACACCATGCCACCCTGCCTTCCAAGTCAGTTGTGATTTTTTTGATTCATTACTGATGAGAACTTTTTACGTGGGTTTTTTTTTTTTTGGCTGATGCTTATAAATCAGCAAGAGACGTCAGTGGGTAAGATGGATTAGACTGTGCTTTCTGCAGTAAGCAAGGGATGAGTGACTGCCATCTGGGTACGCCACTGAAAAAGCATATGACAACCCATTGTTCCACCCAACAATCCAGAGAGTTTGAAAGCCACAACAAAGTGGCAATAAATAGATGGGTCTCCAAGCAGTCAAGAGATTTGAAACCTTGTGCCGTTCTTCCTCTTAATGAATTCCTGACAAGAAAAAGGAGTCAGGGCAAAATAAAAGAAGCAAAACAAGTGGAAAGAGAGCTTTTTCTGCAAGATGACTTTCCCACAAATGGAAGTGTCTCAACTGGAGAAGTGGGTACAAGGACGATAAGAAAAGAGAAGAGGGCTTAAGCAAAATGCATTGCTCACCTCATTTCTACTAGCCTCCTCCATTAGAGTCATATATCAGAAATAGAACCTCTTCTCCGTAGTGGCACAAGATACTTGAATCCTGTGAAACAGACAGTCCTAAAACATGACAGATGACTTCCTGATGTTTTAAAAAATGGAATTTAGTAAATTCCTATCAGCAAAACCCTGTTTCTTTTTGTTTTGACAACTTATACTTGTCATTCTGGCTGAAAGATATTGAGTCTAATGACAGTTTTCTTAGATTGTGTCCTTAACCTCTGTGTTTTCCACAGAAGGAGATTATGCAAAACAGTGCTATAAGCACATTGGATTTTGACATTTGCAATAATTTGCTATGGCCTATTATATTTTTATCTAACAGTGAATTCAAGAAGTCATAAAGCAGACATGAATAAATCAGTAAATATATTTCTGATATAGCAAAACATCTTTCCTTGGTTGTACAATACTGTGGTGCAAATGTATGGAGTTTTAAAAAGAAGTGATTTTCAGCAATTATTCAGAATATTTTTCCATTCCATTTTATTATTATTTATAACCTTGTAACAACATTAGCACGTTGATGCTGATTCTGCTGAGATATAAATACATCTTCTTTTTTGGGGCATGCCATCTGGAATCAGAATTCTTTCAAAGAAATGTAAATAGCTAGCTGTTTTATCCACATTATATCTCTTAACATTTTATTTTTCTTTTTGGATTTGCAGGTGGCAAAGGAGGGAAAAAGAAGAAGAACAAAAATACTGCCAAGCCCCAGAAAAATAATGGTTCAAACTGGGCCAGTGTTCCCCTCCCACCCCCTCCCGTGCAGCCGCTTCCAGGCACAGAGCTGGAACACTATGGGGTGGATCAGCAAGAAGCAGGGTAATTTTTTTTCTTTTTCTTTCGAAGAAAAATACGTGGTTTGCAGAGGTGAGGCTTTTTTTTTTTAAGTTTTGCAAATGATGTTATTATTCTGTTTTGTTTTAAAAAAAAAAAAGAGTGCCTTATTGTATAGACCTATTCAAGGCTATGGAAGGGGAATGTTTGGATGGTTTTTCTTGATAGTGACTGAAGACGGAAATAAAAGTGACCTTGCTTCATCATCATGTAGGGCTTCTCTGCTTACTCATGCTGAGAAGTATCTCGCTTCATAGGTAGCTTAATTGAATTCTGTTGGGACTGCTTGCAAATGATGGGACTCAAAGTGAGTAAGGATGACATAATCTGGCTTCTTGTATTTTTTTTCACTGCTTTGATGTTTAAAAATATTAGAGCCAACAGAACAAAAAACCTCACACTAAATTGGATTAATTTTAGAAGATCAACCAGTGGATAATAATCTTCTCATCGGCTTTTAGAAGAAATTTCACAGTTGAGGAAGGCATGTTATTTATAGGCATTTTGTATTATTTAAACAACTCTTGAGTTTCTGGAACCTTACGCTTATTTTTTTATAGCTTAAACTTGTTCTTAAGGACACAAAATCAAACAAAAAGCACTAAATGAGAGGAAAGAGACATTTCCTGCACCGTTATGGAATGCTTTTTAAAAAGGGAATTTATATGAAATACCAGGTTATCAAACTCTCGAGGAAAATCAGAATATATAGAAAAATAGTTTACTGTGGTCAGCTCTGTTGGAGCCTTTGAGAATCATGGTCCTGCCAGGGACAAATGTCTGCCTGTTGAAATACATGGATAAATCAATATTTCCTAAGGATGAAACATGTTTTAAAAATAATTGTATTATTGCTTTACTGAATAAAAAATATTTCAAGTGTTCTCTCTTTTGTAAGCATGACTTGATCATCAGTACTTTTATAATGAAAATTAGAATAATTAAATAAGTCCGTAGAGTTCCTTTTAAAATGAAGGCCCATTCAGGCTGTATTAGAGTTAGAATTTCAAAGCAAATGCAAGGGAAAATGAATAACCTTACTGATTGTAAGTGTTGTTTACAAGTCAAGTCAAAAAGGTGCATATAATCATTATATTCTGTATTCTGTTATAAAAAGCTAAAATAAATTTAAGATGATTTCGCCATATAATATTTGTCTTTATCAGTTTATATCCTTAAAATACATGTGCAGCCATTTCACTAAAATAGTTATGCTATAGAAGGCAAACAACTTGGATTTTCTTTCAGGACAATGAAATAGCATAAAAGGTAAATGGAAATACCTTCTAGAGAAATCTCTTGTGACACGGGGCTTGACTCCTCAGTTGCATAAAGTATCTGTTATTGAGCTGGAAGGAACGATGTTGGTCACCAAGACAACACTGGTTATTTAAGGATAAGGTAATCACCAGCCTTCCAGGTTCCTAACAATTAGTTTTTCCTCTGATTATCTTTTGAATTACTCTTCTCTGGTTTTTGTAATATCTCATTAATAGTGGTTGTAACAAGACCTTCTAATGTGCGTTTTACCAAACACAAAAAAAAAAATTTGAAGATTAGACTTACAGTATCAGTCTTCAGCTGAAGTAATTTGCAGCCAACTTTGCTGAACCCAAAGAATCTGCAATACCCATACTGCCTGAGGATGTTTCCAATACTAATGGTCATTCTGTATTCAGGGGTTGATCTTGTTTCTGTGGTTTTCAACATGCTAAAATGGAATGAATCATAGACTGTGTTACTTATATTGCCTTTAATATTGACATATTGGGTAAAAAAAGGGCAAGCAATTTTTTTAAACTGTTCTGTTTTTCTTGATTTGCTTTGATGTATACTATGTTTGACAAGTTTAATGTGTTTTAATTTTAGAATTAATTACATGCAGATGTAATTATATTGTGAATTACAATTGAAAAATGAACTTGCAGTCAGAAAAACTGAAGGCTTTATATTAAAATTCTCATAATGTGATAGGAAAGGTGAATGTTTAGAGCAATAAAATAAGGAAGCTTGCGTCTAGACATACTTATTTTTCTGTGCATGTCTTCCTATAACTCTTGAATTCAAGTGTGCGTTTCATTGGCATGAATATCCCAAATAAACTAAACAATTTTGGCACCTTATTTCACTTACTAGAAATTAACACTAGTGGCCTAGTGGCTTATAAATTGTAAAAGAAAATCCACAATAGCAGCAAGTGAAAAACAAGTCACCTAACTTAATCATAAGTAAAGATGAAAAAAAAATACACTCTTAGTTCTCTCTACCGTTTTCTCCCCAGAAGAACTGAAGTTTGCATTCACCTCCATTTTTCCATGAACTGCAACAAACATAAGGAAAGGTGAACATGTTATTTCAAGCCGCCATTTTACATAATGTGGTAGCTTTTGGGATGTCTTAAATTCCTGTTTAACCTGTGCAGAAAGTCTGTCTATACTGTTGTTTCCCTAGCAAGCTCTTTTCTGTGAAATTTTCTCCTTTTTTTGTGGTCTTCTACAAACTCTGTGCTTGTTCCTTGTTGTCTTCCTTAATTTTCTCTTGTATATACAGCGGAGTCTTTGAAGTTTCTCTTTTCCTGTAGTAGCTCCCAATCAAGCTTGTTCCCTTCCCCACCCTTTTCAAAGATGCTGTTGTGTAGTTTTATGTAATAAACTTGACAGTAAGGAAATGCTTATTACTTATTCATTATCATCTACTTGCATTTTTTCATCAATAATATGCATGATCTTGAGCCAACCCCGGTGAAGGCAGTCTTCGTATTGTTTTCACTGGTTATTTCTTACTATCGATCCCACCTTAAAATGGAATATTAGCTGCTGAATGTCAATATATTTGACAGTCATTTTCTGTTTTTAGAAAAAGTAAAGAAGGGAATACCTTTTACATCAAAAAATACTTTCTGGCAAGGCCTAGAGAGGGAAGCTTTCTTTGTTGCAACAATGTCTGTAATGAAACAGAATTGTTATAGAATGTGCCCCTTATCTATCACATCTATTTTTATTTTGAAGAAAAAAAAATCTATCAATGTAATGAACCAAGCTTTTTAATAGTAAAAGATTACTATAGAATAAAAGTGCTGAGAATAGCATAAAAACTATTAGAAACACAGACTCATGTTTGTTAACCAGAACTTGTTTAGGGACTTAATTATCATGAAATTACGATCAGAGGTCCCTAGTGAAGTTGAGGTGCTTAGATTTTAATAAAAAGTACTTGAAAAAGGTTGCATGCATTTTCACCAAGTTGTATTTACACAGAAAATGAAAAAGAACAGGGATGTGATCAATATTCACTATGCTGGTTCCAGACGTTTTAATAGTATCATTTATATGAAGTGTAGTTACTATGTGATCTGTTAGGTTTGCTAGCTTTTTCTTGCAGATTTTTTTTTTTTTTTTTTTTTTTTGTAAAAATGTTTTTTTAAACCTTTTTTAAATTTTTTTTCCTTTTACAACAATAAAATATTGCGTCGATATAAACCCCTTGACTAAAACTGGTCGACAACCAAACGTTACAGCGACTCGTGTGTTTCGTT